GATATACATCTGCAATCCCAGTTCTGGGGAGGCTGAGGCAGTAGGAACTCTGGGGCTTGCTGGCCAATCATGTAGTTAATCAGAAACACACCCTATCTCAAGAAAAAAAAAAGTTCAAAGCCATTGAAGAAGCCATCTGACACAGACTTCTGACCTCACACTCAAACACAAGAAGCAATGGCTTATTGTCTTGCCTGTCTAGATTTTTGAGACTATGGAATAGCAAAAGGAAGGCCTGTTTTCATTCTAGGAGTCTGTGGGCTAGACAAAAGAGCTGTGGGATTCTGAAGAAATAAAACAATTCCCCTGAACCCTGCCCAGCACACACAGTCTTCCGAGGACCAAGTCAAGGAAGGATAGATTTAACTGTGGAACTGACAAAAAGGAAAAAGAAAACGGCTCAAATGACCAAACACACAGCAGAAGTCCTCACTCTCCTAGCAGAGCACATGGTCACAGGACCAAGGCTCCTGGGACCTGGTCTTGGCAGTTTCCCAAGGACTCTGTCTACATCAGCGCACTTGAAGAGCCTGGCTACATTAGCTGTGAGAAGGTCATTCGGAGGGAGAGCATCTTCATCGCCAGCATCAGCTCTGGCCATCGCTCATAGAAGATGCTGGATAAATACTAGGACTGGAGAGATGACTCTGTAGATAAAGTGCCTATTGCACAAGCCAAGTTCAGATCCCCTGCACCCACATAAAAGGCCCGGTCCACTGACACACACACACACACACACACACACCAACAGGTGTATAGTTTATAGGTAAACCAACTTAGCTCAGTCAATGAGCTCCAGCTTCTCAAAAAATAAGGTGGGGAACAATTGAGGAAGACACCTGACTGACATCAACCCCTGGCCTCTACAGGGATGCACACACACACACACACACACACACACACACACACACACACACGAAGGGGGGGCTAGTGATATGGACACAGCATGTCAAACAGTGTCAGGATATGACCTAGATTAGGCATTTATAAACCTAGTGTAGTGCTTGTAATTTCAACATTTGGAGGCAGGAAGATCAGCTCAACTCAAGCCTAGACTACATACATAGTTAGCTTCAGGGCAGCCTGGGCTACATGAGACCCTATGGGGAGAGTAAAAAATCAAAACTATGCAAAACTTCAAAGGATGGGGAGATCGTTATTCAATTCAAAACAGAAATTTAAGAATATAGCCATCTCTTTGGCTATTATGAGTGACTCCACTTCAAAGCAGTCATTAACTTTAAAGGCAGTCTGGTAAAACCTGTACTGACGAGTTCCAAACACTGGTTTCCCACTCAGACCTCTCAACTGTCACCCACAAGGCTATTCCACACCTCTATACAAATGATGCCGTCCCTCTTCCAATACCTGGGTTCTGAAATTCATATACTTCCTCCCATCAAAACTACTCACTGATTTGCTTGCCCAGCACCAGGAATCCCATCCCTAAACATTTGCCATCATCATAGCAACTCCAGAGACAATGCTAGCAGCACAGGCCTTCCTCAGACCCCTTACAAAAGCATTGACACAGGCTGTCACTCTAGCGAACCGCCATTCACCGCTACCCCCAGGCCAGGACAAACTGGAAGAAATAAAGCCAGAAAACCCAGTGCTTTTCAAGTCTCTCAGGAATGGGGTTACCTGTGAGGATGCTGAATGGTGACAGAGGGTACCAATCCCCAACATAAATCCTCCCGGTGACTGCCCTTGGTGACTTCACTGACATTTCTGGATCACCACCTATCTATCTCCCTCCCAAAAGGTGACTCTGAGGTGGCACAGAGCCTCAGTCATAGAGTATTTCCCAAGCAAGGATGAAGACCTGCATTTGGTCTCCAGAACACAGGTTAAAGAGAGCCTATTATACTGTAGTGTGCACCTGTAATCCCAGCAACAGAGAGAAAGAGAAGGCTAGGTCCCTGAGGCTTGCTGGCTACCCAGGCTAGCCTACTTAGAGAGTTCCAGGATCGTAAGAGATCCACAAAATCAAAAAAGTGGATGGTGCCTGCAGAATACCTGAGGTTGTCTTCTGGCCTCTACACAGACATAATACACACACACACACACACACACAATGGCAGAATGGCATCAGGAAGGACTGGTGAGCAGCCACTCTTCAAGCCCCTCGGCTGTAATTGCAGGACACTGTGGCATTTCCACATTTAGGAAGCCAGCTGGGCACAAAGCTGGTGGGCCCTTTTGAGATTGAGGAAGTTGAATTGGGAAGGATCTCTGCATTGCTCTCAACTCCCGGGGTCTCTTCCAGCTTCCAGCTTCTCCCTGGAGAACACTGCGGATGCACATCCATATGCACATGTTCTTTATAAGAATGTATAGGATGTGTGAATATATAATGAGCACAGCGTTCACACTTCTACACACAAAGCACTGAAAATGTACACGCTGCTCAGGAGGCGATCCAAAGGCTCAGAGAGCTTTGCTGCCACAGTCACTGGAGTTCAGAGACAGCTACCCTCAAAGGGACCAATGCTCCCGCCATCTCAGGTTCCCTTAAATTCAGCTGCTGGGAGAACTGGGGAGATGGCTCCTCAAGGAAAGCACTTACCTTGCAAGCATGAGGAACTGAGTTCGATCCCAGTCACCCACATAAGCCTAATAGCCCTAGCACTCCTATGGGAAGATGAAAGACGGACAGGAGACGCAGAGCTCAGCTAGGTCTCTGCTGACATAAGTACCAGAAGAAAAAAAGAAACAAAAACCTAAACAACCCAGAACTTGTCTTAGACAAGGTTGGAGACAAGGACTGATACTTGAGACTCTCTCTCTCTGTCTCTCTCCCTCTCTCCCTCTGTCTCTGTCTCTCTCTGTCTCTCTCTTTCTCTCTCTGTCTCTCTCTGTCTCTCTCTCTGTCTCTCTGTCTCTGTCTCTGTCTCTCTCTCTCTCTCTCTCTCTCTCACACACACACACACACACACACACACACACACACACACACAGAGTAACCATTTGGATTGATACAAAGTTCCAAGACTCCTTTACCCTGACTTCAGTCCCCAATGTCCCAAACTAGGAAGGCAAACTAGGAAGGCAGGCTGGAAGGAGAGAGACACAGGAAAGAAATTACTTAAGCCTTTTGTCCAGACATTCAACTGGGCCACAGACCGTTGCTGGGGACAGACACTTCCTCTTTCTCTGTCCCTAAAAATCTCTCCCCACTCTTCCCTCCTGTCCATTTCCAGTGCTCTACATAAAGTAAGTTGATCACCCGGACATTAAGTTGATAACAGAAGAAAAACTAAAATGTTCTCTAAAAGAGGGTGCTTTGTTCTGATCCTAACAGAATCACACTTAAGCCTGCTCATCTCAGCTCTGAGTAATAGCCACAAAATGATTTAGAGGAACTAAGGGAGGGTGGGAAAATTCATAAGAGACAGGTATGAAATGGTTTGACTTTCTTGGCTGAGACAAGTGAGCTCTGTCTTAGCAACAAAGGGTCTCCCTAAGTCCAGGGTGAGAAATGCTGCTAACTTGACAAGGAACTTGGGATAGGTCAGCCAATGAATGTGCTTTCTATTTAGACCTTAGTAGATTCTGATTTGATGTAACCTTAGATCCAGTGTGTTTACAGGCATGACTTTGTTATCCAACCGGAAAACCCATACAAACCTCAGCTTGCTGCTTCCCAACTCCACCGCCCCAGAGGAACCTAGTGCCATAATACAAACACCAAATCAAGGCCTGGCAATAAGTGCCAGGAGTTACTGAACTGTAGACCTAGACCAGGGCAACCTCAGCCCAGTCAGGAGGCGTCCTTAGGGACGAACACACACACACACACACACACACACACACACACACACACACAGCTGAAGGATGCTCCAAAAGCCACCGAATAAAAAATGCAAGCGCCACCCCTTCCCTCTTCCTTGTAGTGGCTTTGTGTGTGACATCGACTGTGAGCGCGCGAATGTTGCCGAGCTCACACACCCCCTTCCACCCAACCTGCTCGTGGCGCAGAGTCAATGCGCGCGACTGAGCGCCCTGCGTGCACTGAAAGACGGTCCACCTGGCCGACCGTCCAGTCACCAGGCCTCTGGTCCTCCACCCGCAGGGCGCAAGGGTATGACATCCACGCCCCCGTCTCCAGAGGCTAGGATGGCTCTGGAAAACAGAACCGTGATGCCCGTCACAGGCTAGACAGAGGCCTGGGGACGAGAAAGGATGGACAAGAGAGCACAGAGATCCCCACTCGCACACTCACACCCTGCCCCCAATTTAGCGAGCTACGGCCCCAAAGGGGACCGAGGCGGCTGGCCTGGCGACTCGGCAGGAAGTTCCCAGGACCGCACTGAGCATGCTCTAGGGGAGTGTGTACGCGGGTGTCGGCCCTTGCATCCCGCAGCCTCAGCCATCCCCCAGCCGTGGGTGCATGCCGGCTGGATCGAGGTCGGGCTGGCGGCCCCCAAGGCTATCTGGGACCCGAGGGGGTCTCCCTGATCTCCCAGCCTGGAGCTTCGAACCTTCTTATCCCTTCTCCCCAGGGCCAAGGGGTCCCGCTCCTTCATTCTTCCTTCCAACTGGCTCAAGGCATATCCCACTTAGAGCTCCCTAGTCCAGCCCACGCTGGGATCCTGATTCTATCTGTTTTCCTCGTGGTCCCAATGTCCAAAATGCCAATCTCAGCTTCTCGCCTCCAGCCCACGCCACCCGAGACCCTCTGCACAGTTCCTTGAGAAACCTAAAAGCCTCAGAGCCTAGAGATGGTCTTCAGGGTCCCGAGAGAGGGGTGCCCCGAGCAGGTGGTGGACACTCCAAGCTCACCCCTACCTAGGTTGTACTCTGAGGTTCCCACCCCCGTCCCGGATCACACACGGCCAGAACACCCACGCCGCCCCGGGTGTCAGCGCTGGGCCGGATAAGAGCTGCTTCAGCTCCTCTACCGGCCCCCACGCGTCCCCCGAGATCCCCAGTGCATGCATCTCCTCGGGGGAGATGGCGAGGTCTGAATCGATCGCCCGACCCGCAGCAGCTCATACCTGCTAGTAGGGGAGCAACAGAGGCACCATCAGCAGCAGTCGGGGTCACTCTCTAACAGCCGTACTCTGGGGGACAGGAGGGTGCCAGGAGCGGCCAGGAGCAGCCAGGAGCGGGGTCACAGCGCCCCCAGAGCCTTAGTCGCAGCTACCTGGGCTGGATCGAGCCTGGGGCCGCCGCCGCCACTGCCACCACCGCGGGAGCCGCAGGGCTGCCGGGCGAGCGGGCCTCGGCAGGGACGGTCTGCAAACTACCAGCCCTGGCGGGGCCGTGCGCAGCGCGTTCACCGTCCGCCCCTAGACGCAAGCAGGGACGTTCCTCCTGGGTCCAAGCGACCAGGACCAGCAAAAAGGAAATCTGTTTGAGGTTTCCACCAAGCCTTCCCTGCTCGACCTCCCTAACTTCTCTCGGCTTCTGTGCTCGCGCTTTTCTTCTAGGCAAAGGGATTCCGGGCCAGGGACGTTCTGCAAATTCCCCGCCCACCCTGGCAGAGCGCTCAGCCAATTCTGAACGCCCCAGCGTCTCAGGGATAGTCTGCAAATTCTAGACCCTGTAGGAGAGGACTTGAAGCAGCTCTATTCCGCTTCCCAAGGAGAAACCAGATAGCTAGACTGAGGGAGTTGGGACCATAAATACTATTCTAAAAAGGTCGGGGGGCAATGTAAGATTACTGATACAGACCGCGCATATTCCAGAAAAATACTCTCTGGGGCTTCTTCAGGATAAGGGCCTTCCAGGACTGAAGCCTGTTTGGGGTAGTGGGGGGAAGGGGGGGAGTCCTGGCAACTTTAACAAACGCCCCGAGTTCCCTTTTCTACTTCTTAGAATAGATTGGCAGAAGCAGTAGACATTTCTGTCCCTTATCTTTTTCTTTTTAACTGAACAGATTTGTATGTATTTCGTGATTTTGTGATTTTTTTTAATTGGGGGAGGGGTTGCTCTCACCTATCCCAGACGCACCACAAACTTGCTTTGTAGCCAAGAATAACCTCAAAGTCTGGATCCCCTTGCCTACATCTCCTTAGTGCTAGGATTGCAAGCATGAGACGCCACACCCTTGGTTTTGTGACCCTGGGCAAGCCATTTATCCAGTTCCCTTCATTGGCTCTATTGATGAGAGTAATAACGACTGCTTCATGAAGTTATTGTGAAGGTGGAATGAAATATTTGTAAAGGATTTGGCAGGTCCACAGTAGGCACGCAATTTTTCTAACGTAGTTCTTTCCTCTGCCCTGTCTGCGTTTTATGAGCAGCCTGGACAGCTTAACTCAGTGCTGCTGTAAATTCATAAAGAAATAAAACACATCCCCTGCCCTGAGGGCACCACAATGAAACACTGACTAGCATGAAATATTAAATCAGCCTGCCCTCCAGGGAGCTGCCACACATTTACATCATAGAGCATTATAGATCCTGGTTAAGTGTTATCTGGAATGGAAGGAGGGTGGACCAGTGGATTGCCCAGGGTGTGAATGACAGGAAGTCCTACTCCTTTGAGCAGTCACACTATCCAGTTACAGTGTAAGGGTTTATCCTGCAGAATTTCTTTAACCCTGCGTCACGGCCTCCCTGGGGGCTTCATTCTTGCGCTGAATTCACCCTAAGTTGGCCCCCCTACTCACTTAAAGCCTGGGACTTCCGAATTTTTTAATTCTGGAAATAACTGAGTTCCTCTTCTGCATTTTGTAAAGTAGTCCACTAGGCTACACAAAGCAGTGGGTGGGCTCCTGACTCCAGGGCCTTGCATGCAACACACCTGTGGTATTGTCTCTTGCAATGGAGCATCCTGGGAATATACACAAATGAAATCAGCCCTCCCTTTAACATCCACCTGGAGTAGAGACTGGGCTGTCATAAAGAGCTCAGGTGGTGTCCAGGATGGAGAGGAAATCTGAGTGGGCAGGACGATACCATAAGAAAGGACCTCTCCTGGAAACCCCAGGAACATTCTGAGGCACTACTCCTCTCACTCCCTAAGAAGAAAATGTCTCAAGAAAAATGGTGACATCTGGTGGCCAGGACTTTCTGTGCGGGGTACAGATTCTAATCATAATAGATTTCTTTGAAAGCCAAGTTCCCATGGTTGGTTCCTAACTGTACCAACCTGGTTGACTGAGAGACATTAATTCACTTAAGCTTTATATAGTTTATTCTGTGTAGTTATTTCAGATTCTTTAACCCAAAGCACATATGCATATAAAGAATTAAGTATGATATAAATAAAATATGTAAATTCATGTATACATATGCAGAGACTCTGCCTTTTCTATCCTACTTACTTACATAAATATATTGCACTTTCTTTGGAAGACATTAATATTTCTTCAATTGTTTTTTCCTATGGAGTAAAGGTGATATGGAGAGATGCTTCACTCAGCAGAGTGCTTGTTTGTATGAACATGAAGACCTGAATTCTATCTCCAGAACCTATATGAAAAGGGCCAGGCTTTGTGGAGCATGTGTGTAATCCCAGTGTTGGGGAGGAAGAGGGCTGCGGAAGTGAGTGATCCCATGTAGCACGAATTCTAATAGGTCTTAATAACAAAAACCCAGAGCCAGAGGGGCTGGAGAGATGGCTCAGCAGTTAAGAGCACTGGTTGATCTACCAGAAGTCCTGAGTTCAATTCCCAGCAATTACATGATGGTTCACAACCATCTGTAATTAAATTTGGTACCTTTTTCTGGCATGCAGGCAAACATGTAGACAGAACACTGAATACATAATAAGTAAATAAATCTTAAAAAAAGAAACAAAGCTGGGCGATGGTGGCACATGCCTTTAATCCCAGCACTCGGGAGGTAGAGGCAGGCAGATCTCTGTGAGGTTGAGACCAGCCTGGCTGGTCTACAGAGTGAGTTCCAGGATGGGTTCAAAAGCCACAGGGAAACCCTGTCTCGAAAAAAAAAAAAAGAAAGAAAATGCAGAGTCAGATATTGGGGTAGGGGAAGCTGGAAGCTCAGAGAAGCAAAGCAGCCAGCCACTAGCTCTTACCTCTACCTCAGACTGAAGGGGCTCTAGCTTTCACACCCTAATATCTGAATTTTTATGATTAAGACCAAGTAGAATTTGGGCTACAATCCTGTCTCAAGAAATAAGGTCATCTGTGAAATGACAGCTAAGTTGGCCTCTGATCTCCACAGGAACATGAACATACAGACTGTGATATACTATCTGCGATATGTAATTGCAAAAGAACCCTTCCTTACAGGGAGGAAGCCGATGACTAGAATGGGGCTATTCCATATCGGTGTCCCAGAGAGAGCGTGAAGTTTCCATGGTGAAAGCCTTCTGACTGATGATCAGCTCTGGTGAGGGGAGTGATCTTTCTAACATGTCCATCACTCACGAACAACAGGTGTGTTGCATGGCATGCATGTGTTAGTCGAAACTTTATTCCCTCCTTACAGGACACCAGCAACAAACCAAAGTACAATCCCACCCAAGTCCAACTTGGGGAATAGATGAGTTTATCTGGCTTAATTATGGAGCATGGGGTGAAAGATTTCTTACTGGAAATACTTCAGTCGGTAGGGTGCTTGCTTGTATGAAATGTGGAAACCTGAATTCCATCCTGAGGACCTATATGAAAAGGTGATTTCAAATAAGTCACACCCCAGCATGGATGGTGACTTCCTCATACTTATATAGTCTGTATATGACACTTCAGTTAACTTTCTATAATCTGTTGAACCACAGGAGTCTGTGTAATTGGGGCAGAATCACATGCATTCTAGGCTTCCTTCTATTGTCATGACCCAAAGCAACATGGGGAAATAATTCATTTGGCTTACACTTCCAGTTCACAATCCATTACTGGGGAAGTTCAGGCTAGGGACTCAAGACAGAAACTATGGAAGCGTACTGCTTGCTGCCTAGCTCTCTGGCTTGATCACAGACCTATGTTACCCAGGGCTGGTGCTGCCCGCAGTGGGTCTGGCCCTCCAATATCACTTATTAATCAAGGCAAGCTATCAAATACGACGACAGGCCAATCCAGTCCAGGCAATTCCTCAGTTGAGGCTCCCTATTCCGTAAAAACCAACTAGCACACTACATATACCTACATGGATGCATCCTGTTTGATTCAGGGGGAGTGGTGGGAATCTCAAGTGATAGTATTCCTCTTTCTATGAGGGGTCCTCAACAGTCGAAAGGTCTAATCTCAGGGGTCTCTTGCTAGGAGTCACAGCTGCCCTGGCGAGGTTGGTGGCTGAAAACAGCCAGGATAGCAGGAGGATAGAGTGCTACAAGGTGTCAGGTAAAAAGGATGATGGATGTCTTGGATTTTTTTCATATTGCTAATGCCTGTTGCCAAGTCATTTTGAATTATATTGCTCCATGTATTTGTTCCAGGTCCCATATGTCAGGTAATTGCTCAGTTATCAGCATAAGTAAACACACTCTGTCCACATAGCTGTCCATTGTTTTCTAACCTCCCTATGTGAATTATGTTTATTGTTATAACACTTTATGGGGCAGAGCTTATTGCGTCCATTTTACAGACTTCGAAAAGGTAAATAACATACCCACCCATAAGCCCTATTGCTAATGAGCCTAGCCAAGACTGAATCCAAAGTCAGCTTGTTCCCAAAGCCTGGAATCTTCTATGCCTTGCTGCCCACATTAGACATCCAGAAAGAGATGAAGAATGGAGCAGAAACTAAAGTATATGTGGTATGCATAAGCCACGTGTCTTGGCCTATTGAAATTTCAAGCAAATAGCAATTGCAGTCACAAAATGTACAAAGCTTCATCCCGTGTGTTTCAGTCTTAGATCAGGGTTCCGTTGGGTACCACCAATACCCCCACAACAACAGTGTCGTTTGTGTGTGTGTGTGTGTGTGTGTGTGTGTGTGTGTGTGTTTGTTTGTTTTACTGTAGTTTTTTTTTTCTGCCTGGGCTTGAACCACCTTTCTGCCTAGAGGGATTATCTAATGTTTGTTTGGAGAAGGCAGAACCTCTGCTGGTGAAGGTGAATGCCTGGGGTGGACGAGTTAGGGGTACCCAGTTCCTAATGTGTACTGAGGAGGTGGTACTCCAACCTTACCAGTGCTTTAGCGTGAGGCTTTGGGAGTTGTTTCAAGATGCAAGCCATCAAGGTGATGCCTGTCTTTCTTTTAAATAAATCCCTTTCCCTCTTAACTCAATAAAAAAAAAGGTCCAGTTGTTTCTAATTAAGAAGCTGAATGATAGATGTTTGCATCAAGAGGTACAGCTGTTGGGAAAAAATACATCACAAAAGGGTCAGCTAGCTTGATTACAACTGAGATCTTAAACACAATAGAAAGGTTTTGGGAGGCCAGGACTATAGCCAAATGGTACAGCACTTTCTAGCATATATGAAGTGCTGGGTTCAATCCCCAGCAGCAAAAAGGAAATGGAAACAAAATGAAAGGTTCTGTATGTAACCTTTGGTCTACAGTAACTAAATTTCATTAAATCCATGG